CGCACACGCGACCATAAAAGAGGTGAGTCTCTTGTGTCGAACACATACGTGTTATTTTTGTATCTAAACGAGTTTAAAATCGACGGAGTTTGTTTCAGTAATTTCCAAGAAATTCAGCAAAATCGGATCGCTTCATATATATGATTACGAATATAAAAATTATAAAGAGAAAAATTAATTTCTCGCGACTTAAAAGATATCGCTACGTTAATAGAAAAATGGCATATAAAAAGAATAGCAATTTTTCAGTAGAATATTTTTATAAAATCCTGAATTGAAACGTTTTAAAACTAACGTAATAAATATGCAATTTTTACACGAAAAAAAAATGCTGCAAAAAGTTTTAACATTCTAGCAGCCACTTTAAACTTTTTACATAATTGTTTTGATGGTCTAAACAAAATTATTTTCAGATCTATAGCTAAATTTTTAGATACTTCAACAAAACTGTCCTTCCCGTGTATACTTCTTATATATTTTTGCATGAATCGCGAAGAACTGCTTTTTCTAAAAAATTAATGTAAAATAAAGAATTTATTTTAGTATACAATTAGATAATTAATCGAGATCAAAGACACAAAATAAATAATTATTTTATAACAATTTAAAAAATATAATATTTCTAATAATTCTAGCTTTGATACCTATATTTTAATATAATCAGAGAGATAAGATAACAATTCAGATAACTCTTTAGTATATCGATATCTACAGCCAAAATATGATTTCTGCAGTAATTTTCTTTGCTCAGCGATATTTCCAGATTTCTTGTTGTCGCAGACAACCGCTACAATGACCAACGTCTCAAAGTATACCTCTGTATTGTTGCAGCTGCAACGTCAGCTGACAGAACGCGGCGGTGGCGGTGGCGGGGTTTGTCTGAGCGATCAGGAGTCCCTGGTATCGTTTCCGCGAGGCAGCGTGAACGGTGCTGCGACGCCTGGAGCCGGCAGCAGCAGCGGCGGCGGCGGCGGCGGTGGCGGTGGCGGTAGCTGCGGCATTATTCCTCATGTGAATTCCCAGCCACCCTTGGGCACCGAGCTCGGCATGTCCGTGGGTAACGTGGGCGGTGGACCGGGTGCAGGAGGATCCTCCGGCGGCCAGGCCGGCGATCGTGGCAGCTGCAGCGCAGACAGCGGCGTCCGCGGGTCCAGCGATCGCGAGAGTGGTGGTGCAACTAGCGTCGGCGGAAATCTCTCGGATTCTACGACGGATGGTGAGAATCACTTTGGTAGCAGATTAGTTCCTACCTGTTCTTTTTTTAGTTACACCGAGCGCAATATCCACGAAATTATACTGTGAGGTATAAAATATCCTCTGACAATGGCGAAAAGGGAGAAGAAAAGAATCGCACAGGAAAGTGCAAAAAATGAAGAAAGGTACAAAGAAAATTGTATCTCGTAAAGAGGATTTTGCTTCGTGCCAAATCCTCTTTCTCTTTTGCGGTGATACAAGATTGCTTTAGCTAATCTTTTCACAAGCGTCTCTTTACACTTTATTTCTGTATACAGTCTTTTAAGTATATCAAATTGTGTAACGTGTTAACTGAATTTGATTGTTGAATTAAAATGAAAATTAATGTGGCGTCAATGTATAACAGTCAATATCCATAAACTCAATTTATTGTATTTTTAATATTAAATATAGATTTCGCCTTATATCTATGAACTAAAACGTTTATGCATTTATGAATTTATACAACTTTCTCTCAATTCTAATTAATGAATATGACGCTTGTTTCGCTATAAAAGTATCACGATAAACAGTAAAGTTAGAAACACATAAGAAAACATTAAGCCATAAGACTTAAGCAGTAAACGAATCACTCAATCACAATAGAGAATGTAAAATAGTTCTCTATTCTGATTAGCCGATTTGCTTGCTGTTTACGTCTTATTGTCTTACGTTTTCTAATGTGTTTCTGACTTAACACTGATTCTATAGCAGAATTCGTCATTAACAGTATTACGACGAAGAAACATTTTTGAGGAGCGTTGGTTTATCTGAAGTTACTATTAATCACAATCGGAGTGACACCCGCTCAGGAGATAATGACTCCGGCGTTTAGTTGCAACGAGCCCCAAGATTAATCGTCTAGTCAGAAGGGATTGCCAGTGTACATCCGGCTAAGTACCAGTTTGAAAAATAGTTGAACCGGCATCCGTCAGTCGCGAATGTTAATCGAACGTAGGTGGTAGAGGTCTAATCGAGCACACGCTTTCTTCATGTATTATTCAGCTAATCGCCGTGCCGTTGCATCAAAACGGTTTGATCGATTGGGTTTCCAGCAAACATTCGCGGTCACCGCAGACGGTTTGGGATTTGATGCGCGTGCATGATTTTCAGCGCGAAAGATGCACTTTGGAAATGCGCAGAAACGTTCGAATCTCAGGATTATCTGAACTCTTGCTAAATTACATTAACAAATTAAACATTTACCCGGGATATCACCTATCCTACCTTTTAACGTTCTTAACGACGAGAAACTGCTTTTAACGAAAGGAAATTTTGATAATGTAATTACGACAAAATATTTACATATATAATTATCATTAATTGATTCATGAATATTATTGATTAAATCAGGCACGGTATATAGTGAATGAGGAATTAATTTATGAACCACACAATAATCTTACGTAAACCGACAATAAGCCCTTTCGAATTTGTCACACGACTATGATAATAGCGAATTAAAAGTCAATTAGCCAGTCAAACATTATCCCGAGCGTTAAAGTTATCAATTAAAACTTTCTCTAGTAGAAATTTTTGCTAATGGCCGCGTCCATTATGCCATGCAAAAAGTCAAGCGTCAAGTTACTTTGCCACTTTCTAACGTCGCGACGTGTTTGCCTCTCCGCTGTGTTCCACTTTCGATGGCGAACAGTGGGCATTATCTTTGTCGTCGTCACAAAGGCGCCGCGGCATAAAGAACACAAGCTCGTCAATAGCAGCGACCTCGAGGGAAGCTCGTTCTTGACAGCTCCAGCACAATGTGACGGGCCCACCGATACCTCTACCCGCACTTCCTCCCTTTACTGTAAAATTGATGTCCTTTATATATATTTCCGCGCAGGCACGCCGACAATTACGGTCGAGGGCAGCGGTCTCGACATGGACAGCATCTCTGTGGTATCCTCCGTAGCACCACCCCACATATACCAATGTAAGTGTCCAAGAACATAAGTCACTGATCGTCGTCACTTCCCTTGTCACTCAGCGCTCTCTCCTGCCGAGCCCCTTGTCCTGTCGTAATCCGAAGCGTCTCTGCTGCTTCTCAATGTATGCGACTTTTTCTCTTTTCCTCTGACCACTATCGATTTTCTTTCATCAGCGAAGGGTGGCTGGACCAGTGACCGATCGCGAACGCGTCGAAATAGAGGACTGCAATCATGATCATTTTTTAATTTATAGATAATTATGAGTCGCCTTAAAATATTTGTAAAATAGCCGAGAATCCATTGATGTTTCTTCTTTGCGGATCTCTAAAGCTCTTTAAAGTCACGATAATCCGAAAAAACGAACGACACGATCGCTATCGTATTCTGGTCACTCTGTAGTCATTTATCTCTTGGTGTGCGTGCGCGCGCGCGCGCGCGCGTGTGTGTGTGTGTGTGTGTGTTGTGTGAATATGCGTCTTAATATGGTGGTCCGAAAGGGATCGAGAGCGCTCACCGAATAAATCATCGTTTTTCTCGGTGCGCGAAAGCCTAACTGATGTCGAGGGCCCCCAAGGATGTCTTCGATACAAGTCCTGCCTGCTGCTATAGCCTGAATGCATGCGCATGTACATACCGTAAACCTGATGGAGATGACAAGAACGAGCTATGCCCACGAAAAGGACTTTTTGCACGCGAGCAGAATCGCTGCACGACGCGCTGTGTGTTCTTTATGTGACTTGCATCGATTATCATTCGCTGTGTTATGGAACAGGATAACGCTTGACGAAAAAACCAGACATGAAACGCGATTTTCATGTGCAGTATAAAAAAAAAAAAATTGCGACATCCGAAGAAACGTGAATGAATAATTAATAGCTTGTCGATGGCCCGATTTGACTTGCCATGACATCCTGCCCGTGTCCAATTATTAACAAATTATCATTCACGTTCTTTCTTTGTCATACGTTTGTTTTAACATGGCCAAAATATTTTTTCGTGCCTGAGTAATATTTGCGCTGACGTGCAAATCGTTGAATAACTTATTGTTTATCGACGGTTTTCCATTTAACATGTCGGGCTTACATCCTTCGCGCAATCTCATAATTTCATTACATTTCGAATTATTTCTATCGCTCTTCCTGTTCTCGTATCGAGTTGCTCGAGAGAGTTGCGACGTTACGGAAATCGACGGTACACCGACACGCGTGTTCTTCCATTTACAGCTGCGACTACACCGAAGGACTGCAGCCCAACACTGTCGCCGCTGAACGCATTTTCAAGGTCTATGGACAATTCCTCGCTATCGCGATCGGTCGAGCAGTTATCCAGCCCGCTGGAATCCGAACCGAGGAGGAACAAGCAGCCACCACCTGTCGTTGCACCTGCCGCGCATTCGCGATCGTCCGCCACTCGCGGCGGCACATGGGGATCCATTTCAAGGTAAGGAGCTCGTTCCGTTACGTTCAACGTTTTAATGCATAATACGAATCGCAAATTGTTCAATTATTTCTTATGCAATTATTTTTGTTCTCCTCCGCATATTGTCCCCGGTAATATCAATTACACATTAATTGAGTGAAGTATCGATTTAGTCACTTGCACAAACATTTATTGGCAGTTACCACCACGGCAATGAATGATACATTTTATACATGAATATGAATTTTGTCTCGCGGCAAATAATTAATGCGTAATATATATAATATAATACGGGCGGTATTACAAATAATATAGCTTCGACATGAATAAAAAGCATTAGAAAGACAAAAATCACTTCATGAACCGTATGCTGTTGAACGGTCTTATAAAGTGCACGACTTGTTCGCATTGATTTTACAATCTCACGCGCTTGCACGTAAGTATAACACCGATGTACTCCCTTCTTCGTCGACATTTTTGTACTTTGTGATGACTCTTAGTATTACTTTAGCAAAGTGTGTGATTACCACGCAAGTCTTACGTCGTAACAATGTACAAACGAGCGAAATGAGTTCATAACACGATAGAAGGGAAATTGCAACTTTACGACAATGGTTACCGAGTAGAAGTGATGCGAATCTTCGCGCCGTGTAGAAATGAACTTGTAAAAGAGACTATCATGTAAAGTAATAGTCTTCCTAAGATGATCTTTTTTTTCTATATAAAAAAAGCGTATCGATTTTTCCATCATATTCACTTGGATATTAGAGCCGATGCCGATGAGAGACTTATATCCATGACGTGCTTTTACTCTAAATAATAGTTGGTGTCGAATGACCGTTTAGCTGTAGAATATTGCACAGAGATCTTGTAATCTCTCCTCCATCATCACATCGAATATGAGACAATTTAGGTTCATCTAATTGAGAAATCTAATTTCTCTGTAATTTTATGAAAAGAATGATTTTGTCTGTAGTCTGAAATCTAAAAAATTTAGATAGATATACAGATCTGACAATAATTTTATTGGATCGTCAAAATAATTATTAACAAAATTATTTTCAGACCATCTGTATTTTGCTAAAGTTTTACATATTTCAGCAAAATCGTTCTTTTCCATGTAAGTTTAATATCAATAATTTTAATTATAATATCAATAATAGGACGTACAAAATAAAAAAAGATAAAAATGTGTTTCTGCGATCAAATGTCATGCATCAATGCGAAATGAATCGGTGTTCTCCCTTTCGGCAGAGTATTCGCCCGTTCGCGACATCGGAAGACGGCAAACAGTTCCAGCGGTGGCAGCGGTGGTAACGAGGGCTCGGATGGCTTTGATCCATATCGATCGTGGTCACCGCTCACCGAGGAGGGTTACGCCGAGAAACTTCGTTTACTGCGAGAAGCAGCCTCTGTGCCCATGGAGCGATGGCGAGCCCCGACCGTTTTAGCCTGGTTAGAGGTGGCTCTCGGGATGCCACAGTATGGTCCACGATGTGCTGAGAATGTCAAATCGGGCAAGGTAAAGGATTTATCATCTGTTTTCATTAGCGAGCTTTAAGCTAATTTAACCTATTGATATGATTGTAGAAATTTTTTTATTATTATTATATATTTGTGATTTAATTATGATTGATCTTAATCCAGAAACTAATTAGATTAATGCCATATTTTTTTCAGATTATTCTTCAAATTATTAAAATACTTGTTTTTTGACAATTTTTTAATTGTCGAAATACAAACTATCAATGCTGTAAAATCATAATTTTTAATATTCGAACAATAGTCTGAAGAAATCATTGATATAATAATACAATGTTAATTAATTTTGTAACCATATGCGAAGTCTTCTTTTTAATTTTTATATTTTGATAAAAATTTACAGAATTATTTCTGATTAAAATACTTGTGTTGATGAGTTAAGTTTTTATACTAATTTTAGGTTCTACTTGAACTAAATGACGCCGAACTGGAGGCCGGTTTAGGCGTAACTCATCCGCTTCACCGAAAAAAGCTGCGTTTAGCCATCGAGGAACATCGACACCCAAGTCACGTACGATATCCATGTATCGCTCAGTTAGGTCATACTTGGGTGAGCTCTGAATGGTTGCCAGATCTCGGCTTGGCCCAGTATTCAGAAAGTTTCGCTACTAATATGGTGGACGCACGTATGCTGGACCAGCTGAGCAAGAAGGAGCTTGAGAAACTGCTCGGAGTTACGAGGAAGTTTCACCAGGCTAGCATTGTTCATGGTATTCACTTGCTGCGGATGCTAAACTACGATCGACAGGTAAGTGAATTTTTGTCGAAATATTACAATGTTATAAGATTTTGCTCAATTCCTCAGAAACCTGTAAAAGTAAAGGGTGATTAATCAATTCTTTATGATTAATTGAACGATGTATAATTGCGGTTGAATAATACCATCAAAGAGATGACGTCATGCCTTTGTGCTAGGCTCTCGCTGTCAGGAGACATCAATGTGAACAGGTCGACACAGATCCTTTAGTCTGGACGAATCAAAGGTTCATTCGGTGGGCGAGGAATATCGATCTCACGGAATATGCCGAGAATTTGAAAGGTGAATTGTATTTCGGGGAAATCAATTACGTATCTTTAAAATAAAAAATTTTGCAAACTATAATCTATTGTCATATATTATATAATAATTAATTACAGTTATTATATAATATATGACAATAGATTATAGTTTGCAAAATTGTGATATATAAATTTGCTATAGAAACGTAAAAATATTTCTTTGTACACAAAGTTCCATTTGTTTTTATCAAATTTCTTTAACAAATATCGTGATTGCAGCATAGCACATCTCTCTTTTTGAAATAAAAATACACAGAATATGAAAACTAAAAAAACTGACGACCTTTCACCTTTAAACTCTGTAACATTCACACGAACTGTCGATATCATCTATCTATAACGAGCACAAAAACTCTTCCACAGATTCCGGTGTGCACGGTGCTCTGGTTGTATTAGAACCGTCGTTCACCGGTGACACTATGGCCACCGCCTTGGGTATACCCCCGGCGAAGCACATGATTAGACGACATCTCACCGCCGAATTAGAAGCGCTCGTTCTACCAGCAAGGTATTCAGTCTACTGTCATCCAGAAGCGACACTGGACAACGCTCACTAATCGGCATGACGTCGTCGTTGTTCTCATCGTCATCGAGACAGGACGACGTCTCCGGAACATTAATTGGCACCTGCGGAACCGCGTTCGAACATTCCTCGTCTCGAAGGAATCTCCTTATAGCACCTCGGGAATTCGATCATCAATTTTGAGATCCTCGAAGTCACTCAAACTTGCATTAAACTTGCTTTCTCCAAGCTTTGTACGTCACAGAAGACGCTCTAAACACATACCTCTTGTCGAGTCGTGCAGTAAAACGAACATTCCTTTTAAGCTTATAGAGTAGCAGTAGAAGATATCGTCATAGTGTAGGGTAACTACTTTACGAAATCAAAGAGACTTGTTAAGCCAATATTAGAGTATCACTTACTGTCAAACTTTTTGGTGTGAAAAATTAAGTCTTTTACGGAAAGAACAATTTTATTGAAATATGTAAATATATTCAGATTAATACGGATCTAAAAATAATGTTATTGGATTAACAACATAGTTATGTAATAGATTTAAGCAATGATAAGTAATGCTGCAAAAAATTGCAACATTTTAGCAGCTTGAGTGTTTTACATAATTTCTTTTCTTATTCTTTCGATAATCCAATAAAATTTATTTAGATCTTTTGGAATTTAACTACTTAACTAACTTTTTGAATCTAGTGAAATTTTTAGATACTTTAGCAAAAAAACATTTTTTCCATATTAAAATGCCATTATCACTTGTTGTCTTGATCAGAAAAAGAATAAGAAGGCGCTCAATTCTTTGATCAATCGCTTCGACAATCTCGATAGATGAAAGAAAATAAAACGGAATTGAGTTTTTTTTATGTCCGTTGCGTAAAAACGCTTTTAGGAGATTCCTTTTCAAGGCATGAACATAACGAAGGATGAAATCGTGCCGGTTCATTTCATTCCTTATCCCCCGATCGATTCGCGCCACATGTCGACCGAAGTCGGCGTGTTCTCGAAGCAGCAGGTGCAAGTTGTAAAGCAACGAACGACACGTCACTCCGCGTCCAAACCACATGCCAATAGCCAAAGTTAAAATCGTTGGACGTGCGTCATAGATCGCGCACTCGATCGCGATCTCAGTCTTGACCGAGGCAGTAGAGATTTTCGCTGGAGCATCAAAGAGCATCAGTCAATTATTTATTTACAGGAATGTGTCGCGCGTGAGCAAGTAACCGGGAGTGCTCTTTCACTTTCTCTCTCGACAGAAGAAGTGTTTTCGAGAAATTTCCGCGCGGAAACGTGAAATTGCCGGAAAATTTCAGCAAACCTCGTTTGGCGAAGCTGCGTGTTCGTCGCTTATTTATCACGTGCGATCGATACTCGCGTTTTGCATCGTAAAATAGCATTAGCTCGGGAAAAAAAGAGAGAAAAAATTGTTACTGTATAGTCGCCGTTAATCAATAGGCAGTTACTTTTCCAGAATTTCTACGAGTAAAGTTAGTTATATCGTGTAAGAGACATATCCGTGAACTTCCGCAAAAAGCTTTCGTAACCGACAGAACGTAATTTAAACGTATTACTAAGGAATTTCGAGAGGAAGCTGTAAATATTCCGGAAACTCGGAAATGAGGGCGATATAAAGGGAGTACACGCGCGCGCGATTTTTATTTGAATTTTATGATACTTCCCTGGAACACACGGATAATTAATCGCGAATTTAACCTGATCAGGCTCGTTTCAACTTTTACAGTACCTGTAAAAGTTCTCATTGACGTTAAGTGGACGTCAAGCAGCGCTAAAAATTACTAATGGCCTCTCAATGAATTGCCTTTATCAAGTAAAGCACCGTGTAATCGAAATCGAGCTGAAATGTGAACTCCCTTAATATTGAGCTTTAGATAGAGCAAAAGCGCGCTCGCTCGACGATCTTCAATCGCGATTGATCGTTGTCGAACGCGCTCGTCGCAACAAAAGTACTCGTAGTCTTAATACACATGCCATACCTGGATATATCGGGCATACACACACGTAAATACAATATACAGTTACAATCGACATATATATATAAAATGTACATATACAAACATACGCGATTACCCAGTGGAACGTGCCAGAGTACTTCGTCGGAGTACTCGGCACAGAATTGCAGCGCGCGATTCGCTGGGTCTGCAGTCCACTCGATCGCGGATCCACCGGTAATGTTTCTCATAGCTGAGCCGTAGCCCACAGCTGCCGCCTGCACTGCACTGCGCTATGTACAGCACATGTTAATCTTAGTGATCGTGGTGTAATCCTTGGTCAGACACCTCGCCCAGCACTACTCTCTACACCCCCGAAAGATTTTCCGAAAAGAGAAAGCGCCTTCCATTATTTAAACAACCCTTAAGCAAAACTTTTAACATATTTCTTATTATTAAATAAATCATATTACTGATTATACTCTTTTCTTATTGAGAATGTATAAAAATCTTTTTGTCTCTTCCCCCCCCCCCCGCCCCCTTGCCGTCTTATAGACGTGACTTTCCGAATGTTTCTCTGGCCAGGAATCACACCACATTTGCATTATGATTCCTTTTATCTTTTTCTAATTTTGCTAACTTTAATATTTACATATATATATCTTTGATTGTTCGATGTTTACTCTCGTTGACTGGTTAGCGTGGCTGGAAATGCGTCTCGGTTGGTTTTACTCTAGGTGACCATCCTTGGCGTATTGACAGTCCAGTAAACATTATACATTACTCTATATCGGTGGTGCACAAAATGCTTGTGTATGTATATTTATGTTGTAACTAGATATTCATTATAAGATAGATCTCGTTCTATCATCAGACACCTACAGCGAGCCACTGCTAATATTTATCAACGCAATCATTAGAATCAAAGATACTCGCAGGACAATAAATAAAGAATAAAAAAAAAAGTACGAGTTAATTACTTTAATTTAATTACGTTATAATTTTGGTTATTAAATGTACTTTCTGAAATTCGACAAAGATTTTTCCAAGGATTAAATAAAAATTTTTTAATCAAAAAAGGAGATATATATTCAGAGGGTGGTTCGCTGTAATACGTGTCACACATGTGTGTGTGTCCGAGGTATGTGCATATTAGGCGATCAAGGACGCCAAGGTGTACGCAAGAAGGCGTGCATGAAAAGGATGGTGTGCGTGTGTGCGTAGAAGTCAGCTGGAGGTGGTCCCGAGGAACAGCATCGGCGGGAGTGGCCGTCCGATGAGCACCGCGAGCGCGGGGGGTAGTCTTGGTCGTGGAAGCAGGGCGCTGCACCTACAGCATCACCAGAGTTCGTTGTCTGCCCTTCACATGACGGCGAATCACACCGGCACCGTCGACAGACGCAGATCCAGCCTCAGGGTAACGTACCGTTTAGATTCAGCGAGGATCTGGTCCGCGTACAAGCGCGCCAGGAACTCGATGCCGCTCCCCGCCTCGCCTCTGCACTTTCTTTAACTCTTTCGCACGAGGAGTATCATTAATTCGGCCTAACCGTTACCGAGGTAATCATTTTCAAACGTTACATTTTAGGTATGCTCAAATTTCAAAGCTCGACAAATCGAGCTTGCATATCTATGTTTGCTTTTTCTTTCATAAAAATACATAAATTGTTACATTGTACCTATTATATTATAATATATATTAGATTTAATTATGTGATGCGATTGGACTTAATCGTAATTAATCGTGATTCTTGTAATTTACTTGTTTTTATTTGGCTTGGAAAGAGATAAGGATAGTGCGAGATATGTCTCATAGCGACTTATCTCTTGGCGAGTTGCTTTTTAAAGCCTATGCTTGTTTTTACCATGATCATTGCATTGTAGAAAATTTGATATTTAGAGAAATGATATTTATGTGATATTTTTAATATTTATCTCATTAGAATTATATAAATGAATAAAAAAACTTCTTCTTCCTTTCATCCGATCTTTATGAGAAGAATTGGGAACGGTATAAAATGTAATCTAATTTGCGTTGCAAAAAAAATTAAATAAATATTAAAATTATTTAATATTTATTTAGCTATCTCATGCCAATAATATATTAATAATCCATTAAGAAATATCCATTATTATTTTCTGCGATATTGCTTTCTCGACAATTAATTAGGTAAATTAATATAGGTCATACCGGCAATCGATTATACAGCACAGACAAACTTATTGAAAAATGCAAAAACTCATCAGGATTAATTCATTAGGTACGTTTCACGCATCGTGCGCATGATATATCGTTTTATCCTTCTTGGATTCATCGAATATTAAAGAAAGATAAAATGATACATCATGCGCATCATGCGTAAAACGGAACGCACCTAATTTCCCCCCATTATTTCATTTTAAACGCAAACGCCGTTTATTGTGCAGTCATTTACTCCCGTTTCCACGCGCACTTTCATGCATCTCATCTGTGCGACTATTAGTTCTTTATTTTTATTAATTATTGGCACGACTGGACTGCATGGCATCGCTTAGTTAAGAAAGCTCGCATAACATTCTATAGCGAAATATTTCCCCCTGATATTATTAATTCTCGTCGAAGGAGAAACAAATAATCGTTTTAAATTGTGGGTAATAATGATTTTAAAATTGCTTTAGAATTTCTCAACTCTTTACTTTTTAAAAATAAACAGAATAA